CTGTCATCTTCACCCTGTCTGCTTTGTACATACACTTGTTTATTATTTGGCTCCACTAGAGAGATATTACTGTGATGGTGAAACATGTTGTTATACTGTGTGGGTGCATGGCAGGTTTGACATCCGTGGGTTCACATTGGACTGCAGCCTTGTGTGAAACCATGGACGTCACATTTACATTCGTATTTTCAAGTTGGGTTCTAATAGCATTTTTCATGTCAACTAACAATATGATGAAATATTATATAAAATTGAATTAATTGCCTATATATAAATATAAAATGAAATATCTCGGAAATAATTATATCTAAGGGTAATCGATCATTAGAAAGAAGTAATTAGCTACATATAAGCATAAAGAACTGAAGCATGACCATAAATAAAATGTCCCTTTTAATATTACAGGTTGCAAAAAAATGAAAGGGATATATGCAAAACGTGCATCTCTTTTGGAGTTACAGGGGAGGAATAAGACATGCAAGTAAAATCCCTAGTACCATAAACTTGAATAAGAGAATAGACAAAACCTAGAGCTTATTGTTCCCTTATGTAAGCAACAAACGAAACATCCTGGCAAGTGTGATGATCGAACAACTTTCCACTTAACTGCACACAAGAGAAAAAAAAGGTAAAACCAAATAAAAATACTTAAGCTACATTAATGCTCATCTAAAGACCTATATTTTCAAAAATTCCATGTAGGTTAATTTTATTCTCTGAGGGCTTTATCCCTAATTGGGTTGATGATTATTAAAGAGTTAGAATGGCCTTCTTCATGCTCTTGATTTGAGAAAGTGTAAAGAAGTGCTAAGAAAAAAGATAAGAAACTAATGAGTATTAATTATCTTACATTAATAGAAATAACGACAAGAGGTAACAAAGGGACACTTCAACTGGGGCACAAACTACATTAAGAAGACAAATGCTTTAGGCATTATTAAGGAATTGAAATGCTCCATTAAAGTACATAAGTATGTGCCATGCATCAGCGTGAGCTAAAGCTCATTTGATAAGAAAACTACAAAGAGATATAATTGAGACATATCAAATTAATTAAAGTTAGAATAATTAAATTTCAGAGGGTAAAAAGGCAATCAAAAATTTTAACACCCCAATCCTCTTTTATATGGTGCTCCCCATCACTCCCTCTTATCTGTCTCCTCTCATTCTCTCTCTCCCTCAAACCCATTAGCCCAAGCTCCTCACTTTCTCCCTGTCCCCCTCCCTCTCCTATACAATCTCATCAACTCTCTCCCTCTAAACTCACAAGTCACAACCAAGCCCTCCTCCCCAAATCTCTCAGATCCATTTCTCCTCCTCCAGGCCGGCCCCCAAAAATAGGAAGCCCGAGGCCTTACATCAAGAAGTCCAAGTCGCCCAAATCTTGGAATCGTGAGATCAAAGGAGCCTGGAGAGAGATACCGCTCATGGGATCCTGCCAGGTTTGCTCTCTACTACTTGATGTTTTTTTCTTTCTGTTTTTTTTTTTTTGGTTTGATATATTAATGTTGTTTATATAGAAATGTTAGGAACACACCCCCAACCATAATCTCAACCACATCTCCTCTCCTTCTATAGTGCATTGGGCCCCACATCAAATTTTTTTAAAAAATTTGATGTGGGGTCCAATGCACTATAGAGGGAGAGGAGGTGTGGTGGAGGGTGTGGTTGGGGGTGTGCCCCTAACACCACTCTTGTTTATAATCCTCTTGTTGACAAGTTTCCTTTCTTTCTCCAGGCAAGAGTGTTTCATCCTCAGGTGGGTGGATGCGTTGTCGGATCCCACGGTTACCCACGAAATCCATAGCATTTGGATATTATATTGGTCTCAGGTTTGTCTTCCTTTGATAAAGAAATCCATATGCTTGTGAAAAAATATTATCCAAAGCCTCTTCTATACTGAAAACAAATATTGCTTTTTACTCTTCGTATTCACTTGATTTGCATAATTAGTTATGCAATTTCCTTCATTTTTAGCCAAACAAACAGCCCCTAATTAAAACGTAACCTGGAAAACATCCAAATCTAAATATAAATAGGGTTGTTTTTTTCCCCACAACGAGAACAACCACTAGAGTAAAAGCCTAATCTTTTTTGTGGATTTAGACTTTTGCTGAAGCTAATGAAAGCTTAGTAATTGACAGGATTAATTAACGCCATCTAATTTGTGCTAATCTTTTTTTATATATAGGAGGGCCCTTTTAGGTTTTTGTTTAGGTTTTTGCCTAGGGCCACCGAATGCTCAGGACCGGCCCTGTATATATAATATTATATATATTATATATATATATATATATATATAATATATAGTATATATATATATTATATAATATATATATATATATATATATATATATATATATATATATATATATATATATATATATATATATATATATAGAGGAGAGAGATTAATGGGTATCATATGTCATATGAGAGGATTCCTCATATACAATGATGTGGCACAATCTCCACAGTGAATAAAGTAGGAGAGAGAATGTCTCATAAAATACACTTGGGTGGAGATTGTGCCACATCATTGTATATGAGAGAATCCTCTCAATATGACATATGATACCCATTAATCTCATATATATAATATATAATATATTATATATATATATATATATATATTATATATATAATATATATATATTATATAATATATATATATATATATATATATATATATGAGATTAATGGGTATATCCTTGTCATAGGAGGGGATTTCCTCCTATGATGCCTCTAAAATCACATGATTGAGCGACATTGTGGTGATCCGCTCCGTTTGAACTTGATCTACATATTCTAAAACCCAACACACCAAGTTTGGGGTGAACCCGGTGCTCGTTGACCTTCATTCCACTCGTATCAATTTTAACGTTTTGAATGAATAGAACTTTTCACATGGCTCAATGGGAGGGTCAAACGACGACGGATTACCCCAACTTGGTGTGTTGGGGTTTTAGAATATGTAGATCAAGTTTAATGGAGGCGGATCATCCACAATGTCGCTCAATCATGTGATTTTAGAGGCGTCATAGGAGGAAATCCCCTCCTATGACAAGGATACCCATTAATCTCTCTCTCTCTCTCTCTCTATATATATATATATATATATATATATTTATATATATATTATATATATATATATATAAACTTATGTCAACTTAAGTGGACGTCCACTAAGTTTCTTAGTCATTGATGATCCTTGATTGAGCTACATTATGGATGATCCGCTCCGTTAAACTTGATCTACATATTTAAAATTCCAACACACCAAATTTGTGGTGAACCCGTCGTGGTTTGACCCTCCGTCGAGCCAGTGTAAAAAGTTCTATTCATTCGAAATCGTTAAAACTGATACGAGTGGATGAAGGTCAAACCACGACGGGTTCACACCCAATTTTGGTGTGTTAGGCTTTTAGAATATGTAGATCAATGTTTAACGGAGCGGATCATCCACAATGTAGCTCAATCAAGTGATCATCAAAGACAGAAACTTAGTGGACGTCCACTTAAGTTAACATAAGTTTATCTGCTCTCGTCTCTCTCTTCTCTCTCTCTGATCTCTATATATATATATATATATATATATATATATATATATATAATATATATATAATATATATATATAGGGAGAGGTTCTAATAAAAACCTAGAGAACTAAAAACCAATCCTAACCCTCCAATCTATCTAATCCAACGGCCTACATTTCGATGGCAGAATTATAAATATAGACAAATTTAATACACATCATTAATGTGAAAAGGATAAAATTGGAACAATTCACTACATTAATGGTGGCTGGCAACATTGGAAACCAAAAATACAACACGTGGAACAATTCACTACATTAATGGTGGCTGGCAACATTAATGCTTCTCTGTTGAGTTCTCCATTTCCCCATTTCTCTCTCTAACTCACTT